TAATTTGAAGGGTTAGTGAGAAGCTGAGGCACTACAAAGTCCTGTGTTTGCTCATTCTATACATTCAAATCACTAACAAATTCAGCATGTCTAGCCAATTGAGACTTCAAAGAAAATAAAATTTTCCAGCACATGATGAATATCTGATACGAGGGAACCCAAAATAGGAATCTCCTTCCAGTATGATTTCTTGACAACCTTGCTGTTGAGCAAACCAAACAGCTTCCCTTGCTGCCGTTGTCTCTGTCGTCTTAGCATCAATCTGTACAAAGAGCTTCCTTTGCATACCAGCTACAAAGTATCCCCCCCTTCATCTCTAATTACCAATCCAAAACCTATTGCTTGCTTTTGCTCAGCAATGGTCCCATCAAAGTTGACTTTAAAGGTCCCAGGTCTAGGAGGAATCCAATGACCAACAAAAGAAGGAGATGAGTTGAGATTATCAAGTTCCAACGCCCTTCGATACGGCTAAGATACTCCCATGCTCCACTCACAATTTTGGTCGGCCAAAGCATCGTTTCTGTTTCTCCAAATCAACCAGCAATGAATAAGAAATAAGGGGATGTCATTGTTAGTTAAATTGTGATGTGTTTCTTGCATCCATTGTCCTAGTGGGAGATCCGTTGCCTGCCAATCTAGTAGTATTGTGCTATGCTTCCAAGATTCTGCTGCATAAGAACACTCTTTTGAAAATACGCAAACAGGTTTCTTTGGCTTCGCCACATTAGCTACACCAGTTGTCCTGTTCAATCTTCCTTCGCTGAAGATTCACATTTATTGGCAAAGCATTTAGACTAACTCACCAAGCAAATATTTTAATTTTTCTTGAGACTTGTTGATTCCAAATAAATTTCAGTTCCAAGGTCCTGAGCTTCTTGAAAAATCTAAGGATTCTGACCTAGTATGTGCAAGTCTCTGATCAACTGCCAAATGATATGCACTACGGAAGACCATTAGAGCTATAGTGCCAAATTAGCTTATCTTACATCGTATTGGAGCCCAAATATTTTTATCATCTCTGCTTCATGAGGTAAAAACATCGGGTCCACTAATTGTTCATTCCATCTGTGTGACCGAGCATCAATTAGATCTCACTTACCATAGCATCATCGTCTAAAAGATTTCTTGTGGTAACAATTCTGAAGGTAGTTGGAGTATGAATCCATCTATCTGTCCAAATTTTAACACCTTTCTCATTGCCGATTCTCCATCTAGATCCAGCCTCTATAAGTTTCCTTACTGATACGATACTCCTCCATGTGTATGAAGCAATGCCAGGTTACGTATCTTGCCTCTCTGTAGAAATTGTAAGAGTGGTAAATTGATCCAACAATACTTTTTTGATAAACATCCTTTAGTTTTCTTCCTTACTGATTAGTCGTACAATGTCTTTCCTTTTCTTTTTGACCAAATGTTACTTGATAAAGTACCTATGCTTTAAATATTAACCAACCTTGCACCTCTCCCTTGGAGGAACAAGAGATGACTCTCATGCTAGTAGCTGGTGGTCCTTCTTGTTGGATAACGTAGATTTGGTGTTGATAAGAGTTTAAATCCTCTGGAATTTATGCTTTTGCATCACCTAATGTACCCGAAACATGCTTGTTGACCAGCCACCATTTTGTTGAACATGCGCATGATATAAGTTGCAGATTCAGGATTGGCAACTTACATGGGGGAATACAAATTTTGGGGCTGAAGACATTTACTTCCATGAGGGCTATGGGGCAATTTCTGGAGTCTCAGGGGGCAATGGCCTGTGCCTTGTCCTTGCATCTGCAAGTATGTTGATGTGCCAGGGACATGCATTGAGCTTGTGCGCAAGTGATTAACCTGAAAAGAATAGTTGTTCGATTATGGGTCCATGCAGTGCTATTTAAGGCGTAAAGTGAATCAAAGCGAATCGATCTCCTGAGGGCCTAGGTGAGAAGTGAAGCGAACGTTTCATTAAAGCAAAATGAACAATATAAAAAATAAGCACATATTTTAGTTTCATACTTTGATTACTCTTAAATATTCAAGTTTTAACTTTACAAATATCAAATATTTAAATGTAATTAAAATAATAAACATCAACATATTTTAAATAGACAAGATATTAAATATTGAACATTATTGTATTTTAAAAATTATCAATTGACATAATCACGTCATCTAAATGTAAAGTTAGCAAATGTGAGTTCGACTTCCACGGTGACTGATTAATATCACCACAAAAAAAAAGCACTCACAAATTGATTAATTAAATAGAATATATAGCAAATTGATTAATCAATTTGATTAACCAAGCAAATTGATTAACAAGAGTATTCACATAAAAACAAAACATTCAACATTATCTAATCATAATAAGACAGATTGTCATACTGTTACATGAATCAATCAATTTATTTTATACATATACACATTTAACATCATCTCTAGGGTTTTATTGTTAATGTTAAAGAAGAAGAATGAGGGGGAGGAGGAGAAAATAAATAAACTGTAGTTAGGTGTTCGCTTTTCTCGCCTGGCTTGCTTCTTCGCTTCGTCGCCTAAGTTCGATTTTTCCTCGCTTTACTTAACCTCGTTTTGCCTTGGATGCTCAAAACAATCAAGGCTCACTTCACTTTGCTTCGATTCTCGCTTAGGCTCGCTTTTCACAATGCTAGGTCCATGTGGAACACTTGGGAAGATCACATAGCGATAGTTAGGACAATTGCAAGGACAATGATGAGCGAAGAAGAGAGTGGATATGGAGAAGATGTTAAGTTGAAATCGTGGGAAAGATGTCCCCGTCTTTGTTTACCTTTTTCTGGCCGCTTTCTTAGTGTTCCTAATTTTGGATTATTCTGGTTGTCGCAGTAAGCTTTTGTATAGACTAAGTGAGGACCGATATCTTTGTAATTTGGAGTTGGTTACCCTCGTGGTGAAACCTATCTTTCTTTATTCCTTGTTCTCACGTGACATCTCTGTCAATTTACTTGGTATTATGCTATTTCGGGATACATGTGATTGGTAACCATCAAGGAAGCAGTGATGACCTCTATCTTCACTCCCTAGGAGAATGCATTTCTTTGGTGAACTAGTGAAGGATAATGAGGATTGATCTTAAGTGATTTAGTGTTTGTTGCAAGTTTAAAAGGAATAATTAAGCGATAGACAGTTTCTCATGGCTAAATAAAAGTATGTCATTGTGTTCAGTTCCTTATGACAGCTAGGCTTTTCTATTGCACGCTTTGCCGTTGGCCGTTAGTACTAGTTTGCATGGTTTTCTCTAGCTTGCCCATGTATTTAACAGTAGTTTGCCTATTTCAAAATCTCCAGAGGTACTAAATTTTTATTTATTTATTTTTATGTTTCTTCAAATCTATTATTTTTGTCAACATTTAAAAAGGGTAGAGGCATCGGGATATGCTTGAGAATATATAGCATTTTAAATAGTCTATCAAGGATTTCCTTGAATTTTGGCATATGTTTCCAAAGTACTGATTTAGGAAGAATGGATACGGATAAAAGGATACGACAAAGTTAAAAAATATAGGGTATGGGTGCGACAAAGATAATATATTTTTTATATAATAATAGAGTTATAACATATTAAAAATAAAGCATATATTATAACAGTATTAATAATAAGATCTAGCAAATATTATATTTTTTGTTAAAATTGAAATAGATCAAAATAAATATCCATATTTTTTATCAAACATCATTTCATCCATTAACATTCATAGTATATAAGTTACATAACAAAAAATATATTTAAAAAATAGAAATCACACCCTCTTTAATAGTTAACAGTCACTTTTTTAAAAAGAAAAAATTCCTAATCTTGTCTAAGCTGTATCGTAACCGTATTTTGACCGTGTCTTAGTTGTGTCCGACTGAGTTCACTATTTAGGACACTTCTACTCGTGTTGGACATGTGTCCGGCACTCCCACGACACCCCTTCGGAAAGCATCCATTCATCCTAGGTACTAATGGGTAATTCGATGTGATTTAGAGAGAAGAAAAAGTAGTTCATTGAGGAAGTGAGATAAGAGAAACTGAGTTTCAATAAAATAAGGCAGGGAGAGAAAAAGAGTGGGATGAAATCTCTCAAATAGTTCTGACGGGAAAGAAAGTTGTGACCTTTTGTGATGTTATTGTGTTAGAAAGCCGTATTGATGCACTCATGATTAGTTTAATTTGCTTTATAATGTTTTTTTTTTGAGCCAACAGCAAATAGTTATTCATTTTTTTTTTTTTGGATCCATGTTGACTGTATTGTATTGAATTTCATGATCAAAACTTCGTATCATGTTCCTGTTACTTATTGGGATTTGGGGTACAGCTGGTGCAAGAAAATTTTGTTTTTCATGGAGAAAGGAAGTCAGTTCTTTGTTAATTCTGGACATGAATTATATTATGTTTGCTTTAGATTGACATCTTAAATTAATCACAGAAAAGCTACTAACTCAATATTAGTTTCCACTTTCCATTGATGAATTATATGCTATAATTTTTTTAAACACACTGTTTGGTAAGTGAAGTGATTGTTACCATCACAAGCTAAGTTGGTCAAGTGATTATCAATTAGGTGCTATTCTGTGATTTTCCTTGGTTTGATATCAACTCTCTCTTGGTGAAGATAAGCCCTGATTCTACATTACTTGCTGGTAATGAAATGGAATGTATATTGACTATGGTTTGATATATTGTTTATTACAGGAGGCTAATAATTAGTTAGTGACACCTGTAAGAGGATTGATGGAAACAGGAGGACTTCCAGCTGTTGAAGCAAAGAAAACATCCCTTACACCCAAGGCTATCATCTACCAGATGTTTGCTGACAAAGCATGCTATAAGGTTGATGAAGTGCAGCAGTCTACTGAAAATGGATGCCCAGGGTTTGCCATCCCACAGAAGGGTCCCTGTCTTTACTGCTGCAGTTTGCAACTTCCAGAATTTTCTGTCATGTCAGCACCATGCAGAAAGAAAAAGGAAGCAGAGCAATCTGCCGCAGAGGAGGCTCTAGAAAAGGTTTTGCCTAGTTTTTCTTGCACAATTAATAAATTTGTTTTTCTTATTTGCTCGGTTTTAACAACCTTTTGTTTATTTAATTTTGGTTTGAACAAATGCTTGTATTTACCACATAGCTGCCAATATTGCCTCAACTTTGCTGTTGTAAATAATTTGAATGTTTCATAAATGCTTTAAACATGGTAGTTATGTAAAATGGCACTTGTGAATCTAATATAACCAAATGTTGTATTAGCTTACTATGTGTCCACTTTTTTTCTGTTTCTAGTAATTCTATGGTTGTTTTTACTCAGTTTTTGCTATGTAAGTGCTTCAGCAAGCCTAGATAGCAGTTTGAGGCTGGTGGTGTTCACTCGCTGCTGTTTATTATTTCAATACCCGCTACCTCCTTCAAGGATAATGCGGAAGAATTTCTTTAGTGTTTGAGCAATTTTAATATGATTTTACTAGAAACTTAGTTATCAGGGAAACACATACTTGGAATACCTCTTCTATTAACCTGCATTTGGTTCATCCTTAGCTAATCAGGTAAAGTTGTGGCTTTTTGCTGACTCTGGATATTACCCTTTTTTTTAAAAAAAGGGTACAGGAGAATTATTGATAACAAATATAAAAAGCACATGAGAGGACAAAGGAGGAGAAAAAAGAAATAAAAAAGCTATAAGGTTAATGTAGAATATAAAACAAGATGCTTCATCCTCAACAATCGGCACACACTTATGCCAATGATCCTTAAACAAAAAGAATGGTATTTCTTCCCAAAGAGAAACCATCTAATTGATTTTGTGCTATTACTCTTCCTAAGGTGTCCCTCTGTCTTAAAGAATTTGGCCATCTCTTTCCAGCCTCAGGACCCAGAACAATGACAATGCTAAAACTGCACAACTCCATAAAATCTTAGTTTTGTTACTTGAACTTATGTCGTTGAAATGAATTTTAAAGATTGAAACACACTATTTAGGACACAACCAAGGGAATTTAAACATAGAAGCATATTCTACAAATTATAATCGAAGGAGCAATGCAAAATAAGTGATCCTGATCCATACGTTCCTCCTCAATCTTGTGTCGAAAGCTCCATTGCAGGTGAAGAAACTGGGATGATCTTCCTTTTTGGAGTTTCTTATGTGCAAACGACCTAGAAAAAACTTGGACTTTCAAGGGAACCTCAAACTTCCATAGGATAAAGGAGGGATGGAAGATTGCGAGGCAATGTTTCTAATCAAGGAGTCAAAATGAGATTTTACAATAGAAGTCTCCCAAATAAAAGATGATCTACTTTTTCGGTCCAAGGAAGAAGGATCAATACAACGTTATGAAGAATACCCAAAAGCAAGCCTCAGCTTGACTTGTGTTGGCTTGTGAACGTGGCTGTATGATGGAAATTGACAAATGTGCACTTATTTGCAACTTTATTGGCTAGTTGTTCTGATACCATTTCATGATGTAGTGGAAGACTTGCCCTGTTTCCATCCAATACTTTAGATGGAAAATTTAATTAGTTTTCCATTGTGTATATTCTTTATTATTTTTTTATTGTTCAACCTCCTAAAATTAAAATACTTACCTACGAAATGATGGAAACTTTGTAATAAAAATTGGGTTTTCTGCATTCATTTTGATTGTAAGATCTGAGCTTTATTGTTCATATTGAACATTCAATTATCATGATAAGCAAAATCTATTCATCTTAGACAACAGGGCATGTCAACAATTTGGACTTTGCTTGCATGGGGGCGTTGCCATAGTTGGTTGCATTCAGAATATATTTCCTTCCTGCTTTTGCGAAGTAGGTATGGTGGAGCTGATGTCCTTGGGAAATGCATAGATAAGTGGGTAAATGAATTTTTTTTTTTTTTAAAAGTTCGGGTGTGTCAAAAAAAAAAAAAACTGTGCCCTGCATCAACATGCTAATCCTGACGGCTCTTCTGTACTTGCAACAGTCTTTACTTTTTTTTTTTTACTTTGCATGCTTTCTCATTGAAGTTCCGTATCAGGTATTATTTTATAGGTAAAGGTTTCTATCTAGCCCTGCCATTTCAAATATTTAAGTGACTAGTTAGAAGCAAATATCCTCATTGGTTATAAATCTTTTTTTCTTCCCCACCTTTGTGATGCAGCTAGGAATTCATTCTACAGAGAGTAATCTCACTGTAAAGGAAGCATGGGATGATTTGATTTCTCGGCTCTCTTATTTTTTTTCAAATGAGGTATGTGTCTTATATAGGAACGAACGATAACAGCTATTTACATTATACCTGACAATAAAATATGCTTCTTAGTAGTTTTTGGAGATCAGCATCTTGTGTTACTTAATAATGTTTTGATAAACGCTCTTGCAACATATAATATCTTATGACTTCATCATTGGCGCATGTCAGGAAGATTCTTTGGTGATATGATTTATGTGTGTGTGTATTTCTTTTGATATATAATTTGTTTCGTTTAGAAGCTCTTAGTGTTGTATGATCTAACCTCTTATTTCTACTTTTAGATAATTTTAGGAAGTATAGTGTATCTTGCTATGTAAAGCCTCAGTTTTGTTAGGATCTTTTGTATGCCAAGAACAATGGGACGCTCGGGGATAAAGAACCGAGGTATCATTGTATTAATGGCAATTTTAGACATCAAAGGGGCAAGATTAATGCTGGTGTTTTTGAACCTTTTAGTGAGGGGAATGCGGCCTTTTCCATGGACTTAATATATGCAAGGATTTTGGCTTTATACTTGGGATGTCAATTGAGTCATGCTACGTAGTATTTGGTTGGGTCATTTTGGGTTCATGTTGAATACTAATTGTTAAGAGTATTAGGGTATTAAGTGTAAATTGTTAAGAGTATTAGAGTGTTATGTGTAAATATAAGAGGGTGTATTTATCTTTCTGATTATTGTAAGTTAACTATAAATACAAGTGATGTATGAGAGGTAGGTTAAGGTTTTGAACCCTTTCTGTTTCTCTCTAATATTGTCTCTAATATTATGTTAATCCTCTCAATTTAACATGGTATTAGAGCAATTACAATCCTAAATATATTATGAATAAAATATTAACTCTTTTGTGGTGGTGTGCTACTGTTGTTGAAGCTATTGTTGTTGTGGTGGTGTTGCCGTTCGTGGTGGTGGTGTGGTACTGTTATTGTGGTGGTGTTGTTGTTCGTAGTTGTGGTGGTTTCTGTTGGTGTGATGGTGTTGTCATTCGTGGTGGTGGTGTGGTCTTTGTCGTTCATCGTCGTGTGGCATCGTCGTCTGTTGTCGTTCTTCGTGGTGGTGTAGCTCCGTCGTGGTGCTGGTGTAGCTGTGGTGGTGTGCTGCTACCGTTCATCGTGGTGGTGTGCCGTCAAAGACGAGGTTCTACTAGAACCTTAATCAACGAAGAAGAAAGGATCCAAACTCATGGAGTCGGGTCTGGATCAGATCGGGTCCAGCCCACAATCTTAAATTATTTTATGTCCAGCCCAAGAACCAGACTTGATCCAGCCTAATTAGATTGGGTCCAGCCCACGGTTTAGCTTAGACCGGATCAATCCCGATTTGATCCCAGTTCATCTTTGCCTGTGGTTCAGACTGGGTCAAACTGGTTCATTCAGTTGTTGCTCCGGTTCAGCAGTCCAGAGAGCCCAACTAGGTTTTCTAGCCCAGTTCAGTCTTCCAACAAGTCCAGCCGGTCTAGCTCAGCGGTCCAAAGAGCCCAGCCGGTCTGGTTCAGTGGTCCAGCTAGGTTTTTCAGCTCGATTCAGTCTTCAAGCAGCCTCTTTTCGTTTGGTTTAGCATTGCTGCAGCTTCTTGGTTGCTATTTGCTGCACTGTTATGGAACCTAAGCAAGGTGACAGCTCCTTGACTCCATCTTTGCCACCTACCTCTACTTCTTCAACTCTTCTCAATGGTCTCATGACTTTTGTTAAACTCAATGGGACCAATTATACTTTATGGTGCTGATCTGTTCAAGTTTTACTTTGAGGCAAAGGATTTAAGAAATATTTGGTGGATCCTAAACCCAAGGAAGGTACTCTTGGGTATGATCAGTGGGAACAAGAGGACGCTCAAATTATTTTTTATTATTGAATAGCATTGAGCCTAGTATTAGTTCTACCTTGCTCTATCTTGATACTGCCAAAGAGATATGGGATCACTTGGTTACTATGTATTCTGGTACAGGTAATTTTGCCTGTGCTTATGAGGTGTTCAAGGAGTACTTCTGGCTAGAGCAGGGTACTCTAAGTCTTGAAAATTATTACTCTCACGTTCGGAGAGTCTGTGAGGAGATGAAGACCTACTATCCATTTACTATTGATGTAGTAGTTTGGCAGAAGCAACATAAGGATCTGAATGTTATTAGATTTTTGGTAGGATTGAAACCTAAATATGAGGCTATTCATATTCAGATTTTGGGTGGTTCTAGTCTTCCCTCATTACTTGAAGTTTTCTCTCGTTTACAGCATGCTACTTTATCTACTATTCCAGGCATTGATCATGGTGTCCACTGATCGCTTAGCTCTTGTGGTTCTTAGTAGTCATAGTGATGGTCATCGAGATGGACGTGGTGGTTGAGGAGGTCGTACAGGAGGTTGTGGGGACTATAGTGGACCCGTTCCTGTACTCACTATGGTCGTGGAGGGCACACTATTGATTTCTGTTGGGATTTACATGAAAAACCTTCTAGTGCTGCTAATCAGACTTCCTATCGGGATGACACCTCGGCTGTTGCTTCCATACCTCGGTTAACTCCACCAGACACTGGGTTGGTTACTATTACACGAGAAAAGTATGTTTAGTTCCTATCCTAGCAACCAGCTATTCCATCTCCCTCCACTATTATTTTTGCCCAGTCAGGTACTGCTTCCACTTGTTTATTGTCTTCCACTCGTAGTCCTTGGATCATAGACGCGGGTATTTCTGTCCGCATGATTGGTACGTCTAGTGTTTTTTTTTAGTTATCAGCCTGTTACTTTCACACGTAGTGTTACTCTTGCTAATGATACTTATTCTAAAGTTTTAGGTTTGGGGACTACTCACTTGAGTCCCGATATGTCCCTATCCTCCGTGTTATTTGTTTGTTTCTTTTAGTTTACTTTCCATTAGTAAGATTATCCGTTCTCTCAATTGTTCCGTAACTTTTTATCCCTCGTATTGTATATTTAAAAATTCAAGACGAAGAGGAAGATTGGTACGGAACATGAAGCTGGTGGCCTATATTACTTGGATTTTGATTCATCTACTCGGGTTCTACAGATCTCATTGTTTCCTTTTCAATGACATTGTCGTCTTGGACATCCCTCTCTCCAGAATCTGAAGCGCCAAATTCCTAGTCTTAGTTATGTGTTATCTTTGTCTTGTAAAGCTTGTCAACTTAGTAAGCATCACCGTACATCCTTTCAGTCTAGAGTCAATAATCGTGTGTCTAGTCTATTTGAGTTGGTACATTTTGATGTATGGGGTCCAATAAATAATATTTCATCTAATAAATATCCTTATTTTGTGTTATTTGTGGATGATTCTCGGTGACTTGGTTGTTTTTGATGAAAGCTCGTTCTAACTTATTCTCTATATTTGAGACCTTTTGCAAGGAAATAAAAACTCAGTATGATTGTCGTATATGTATTTTACGTTCTGATAATACTCGGGAATATGAATCTGATCATTTTGCAGCTTATCTTAGTAAAATTGACATTATTTATTAGACTTTCTACGCTTACACCTCTCCACAGAATGGTGTTGTTGAACACAAGAACCGTCATTTGTTGGAAGTTATCTATGCCTTGTTATTCTAGATGAATATTCTCCGATATTTTTGGAGTAATGCTGTTCTTACTACTTGTCATCTTATTAATAATATGCCATCCTCTGTGTTAAATGGGCAAAATTCATATTTTGTACTTTTTCTTGGTAAGTTCTTATTTTTTCTAACTCCTAAGGTTTTTGGATATGTCTGTTATGTTCACAATCTGGGTCTTGGGCTTGATAAACTTGACCCTCGAGCTACTAAATGTGTTTTTTTTAGATTCTTCCGCACACAGAAGGGATATTGTTACTTTAGTCCTTCTCTGCGACGATACTTTACTAATGTCGATGTCATATTTGAGGAATCTGTTCTATATTTTTCAGCACCTGCTCAGCCTTTAGATTTGGATTTGGGTCATCTCTTGTACCACCATCTCTTCCCTCATCTTTAGATATTCTGCTGTTTACTGTATTATCATCTACTTTATCTCTTCGTGTATACTCTCATCGTCCTCGCCCATCGACTGAGGTGTTCGTACCGTCTTCTTTGCCGCCTTTTGATTCTGGTACATTAGGTAATTTAGACTCTTTACCTATTGCACTTCAAAAAGGTACTCGTTCATGTGTTACTAATCATCCCATTACTCATTTTGTTTCATATGATGCCTTGTCTCCTGTCTTCTCTTGTTTTACCTCTCAATTATCTGTTATATCTATTTCTAACTACTTATATGATGCGTTATTTGATCCAGGTTAGAGGAAAGTTATGGAGGAGGAGATGGATCCCTTATATCATAATGGGAGTTGGATCTCGTTCCTTTACTTCCTGGTAAACGAACTGTTGGTTGTTGTTGGGTGTATACTGTTAAATTTCATCTAGATGGTTCTGCAGAGTGTCTCAAAGTCCAGTTTGTTGCAAAGGGCTTTACTCAAACCTATGGTGTTGATTATGAGGAGACCATTTCTTGTTGCCAAAATTTTATCTGTTCGTATCTTAATTTCTTTGGCTGCTACTCTTAATTGATCCTTGTTTCAATTAGATGTCAAGAATGTCTTCCTATATAGAGACTTGGTTGAAGAGGTATACATAGACTAGCCAGCTAGGTTTACTGCTTAGGGGGAGTATGATAAAAGTGTATGCCGGTTAAAGAAATTGTTGTATAGTTTGAAGCAATCACTGAGGGCATGATTTGATAAGTTTTCAGATGTAGTTTTAGAGTTTGGTCTTCTTCGCTGTCAGAAAGACCATTCTGTGTTTCATAGACAGACGGATGCTGGATACGTTCTATTGATGGTCTATGTAGATGATATTGTGAATACTGAAAATGATTTTGATGGGATTGTCAAGTTAAAAATCTTTTTGCAAGATCGATTTCATACTAAGAATTTGAGAAAATTTAGGTATTTTTTGGGTATTGAGGTGGCTTGATCTAAACAGAGTATTTGTTTATCCTAGATAAAATATGTGCTTGACATACAAGAGGAAACAGGTTTGTTGGGTGGCTGATCGATTGATGTTCCTATGGATTTGAATTAGAAACTGTTGATGGATAATGGTGCACTGTTTGAAAATCCGGGTCGGTATCGCAGATTGGTTGAAAAATTCAATTATCTCACTATTATTTGGCCGGATATTTCCTATGCAGTAAGTGTAGTAAGTCAGTTTATGGGGTGTTCTACAGTACCATATTAGAAGGTAGTTACTCGTATTTTGCGATATCTTAAGTGTGCTTTTGACCTTGGACTGTTATATTAAGCTAATGGACATCTTAGAGTGGAAGGTTTATCAGATGTTGGTTGGGTTGACTTTCCTTCTGATCGGAGATCAACCACTGGTTATTGTACTTTCTTAAGAGGTAACGTTGTTTCATGAAAAAGTAAGAAACAACCCGTGGTAGTAAGATCCAGTGCTGAGGCTGAGTATAGGGCAATGGCACATACGATGAGTGAGTTGACTTGGCTACTACACTTCCTTCAGAAAATTGAATTTCCTGTTATGTGACAATTAGGTAGCTATCCATATCACTGCCAATTCAGTGTTTCACGAGAGAACCAAACATATTGAGGTTGATTGTCGCTTTATTTGAGACAAGATAGTAGTCGGGGAGATTATGACTCTATTTGTGAAATTTGAAGACCAGTTTGCAGATATGTTTACCAAAGCATTGAATCGTACATGTCTTACAACAATTTGTTCCAAACTTAGATTATATAATATATGTAGTCTAGCTTGAGGGGGAGTGTTAAGAGTATTAGGATAGTATGTGTAATCTGTTAAGAATATTAGGGTGTTATGTGTAAATATAAGAGGGTGTATTTGTTTTTTTGATTATTGTAAGTTAACTATAAATAAAAGTGATATATGAGAGGTAGGTTAAGGTTTTGACCCCTATGTGTTTCTCTTTAATATTGTCTCTAATATTATGTTAATTCTCTCAACTTAACACTAATCAACTCTAATCCAAATTGTTTAATTAATTTTTTCAATAGTGTCCAATGATCTGACACTAATCCGATTTGTTTATTATTGGTGTCGTATTGATCTTGGTAAGTATAGCCTGTGAACCAGAAATCTATTATTAGGTCTCCATTTTCTCTTAGCCGAGCCAACCATTCAAAGACTTTCCATAAACTAAATATCCACTTAGCCCAAATGCTTGCAAAAAGCATGTAAAAAGTTCTTCAATTCTATACGGATTCATATAGATCCAACTAGAAAAATGGAAACATTAGAAATTTTTTACATATTGTACTAGCTAAAGGGATTTACCATGTCAAAATCAGATTAGTCGGTGTTGACACTAACTTGGTCTAATAATTATTATTTGTGTGAGCCGGTCCGGTCTTTTTCGGGTTGGTGGAAAAAATAGTATGTTCTAACCCATTCATTTGCTTTGATGTGTCATGCCAAAAATATCCATTTCCTACTTGTAACTTCTGATATGAAGAGATTCCTGTAATAATTTCTACGATTTCTATGATGACTTGTGGTAGCCGGAATATTTCTTCTCTAACTTGAGCAATTTGGGTTTGTTACAAGTAGATGCACTTCTCCACTAAAACTAAGGTTAACTTTATGGCCAGTCGAGAGCTACAATATTGCTATCTAATTGAAATCTTCGAGTCTTTAGACTTCATGGAGTTTGAGATTCTTCTAACTTACTCTTCTAGTATGGGGCTTTATTTTAGTGGCCTTGTTATAGTTAAAATGTGCATCGTAAAGCGCATATCCTTTTTATAAAACAATGTAGCGTGTATCATAGTATATTGTGTATCGTCAGATGCACTGAATTTTAAAGTGATATATTAATTAACTTATATACGTCTAAATGTATATATATATCATATTGTCCAAACGATATAAATAACGTTTCAATTTACTTATAATTTCGTGCGTTGTGTGTTAGAGATAGAGATCGAAAGAGAGATTGCCCTTCATGTCCGCGAAGAATTTAAAATATAGCTAGAGTTTCATCTATTTGAAAATTTGAAGACGAAGAATAAGAAGTAGGAGAAGTAAAAGAGGATAGCAGAAGAAAATGATTGCGAGCTTTGTCTGCTTGAGATCAAACCAAAAAAAGAAAATTATCCTATAAAAAACGATGCCATTTCACTGTTTAGAGTAAACAAAGTCTCGCAAAATAAAATTTTTCAACGTTTAAAGTGGAAAACTATAAAAAAGTCTTCTGCGTGTCTTTTTTACATTGTATCAAAACATATTGTAAGGTAAGTACTATGTATCGTACGACATAGTGAAAATCAATACAACTTGTTGAAATGTGTCATTTTTTCATTGTATTGTCACATATTGTAACTTATAGCATATCGTGAAATACTGACAATGGTACTTAGTAGCTTTAGTTTCATCTTCCGGGAAGGATCTCCCATTTTTCTTTTCGTATCGGTCTTTCTTTTTGACAAGTAATTTCCTCTTGGAAACAAAGGAAAAGGAAAAGAACAAAGGGTGTGGTATGCAGAATGTATTTTTGAGGGAAAGTGCTTTTCCTTTTGATTCCCACTACTCAACGCCAGATATTTTTACACTTTCAAGAGTGTTATTTAATTGTACTATCATTGAACCAATGATTGCGCACTTGCAGATTGAAATTTCCCATGTCAGTTGTGTTAGTTATGATGTCCAATGTTATTCATCAAGAGTTAAGGCTCTTCTCCAATTCCAATTGTTTGCCAGTCCTTTTCTTCTTTTTCTTTTTTTGATCATTCCAGTTCTTATAAGAGCCATCACCCCCGACAATAGATTTACCGCCTTAAGCGTTAGTGGGTGGCCTATCTCATTTTATTATCCCAGCCTCTTTGTTGCCACCGGATGCCATGAACAAATGTTCATGGGAGCCATTGCTTATTCTGCAAATAAAATAGCTCATTTTAGATAAGCATGCCTTTACTAACTTGGGACCATCTTTTGAAACCAAACAATAGCATGCCTTGGGACAAGGTTCCTCTGTTTCCTTAGTGCCATCAATGAAGAGTAAGTGCTGAATGAATCATGCATTCCCTGGACTGTTAGTGGAGTTCCAACTGGGCTTTTGGGTTGTGATAGAATTTCATCGTTATTCACTTTGATAGGACCCTTGTTTTCTTGGGAATCTGTATGGTAATTATTGCAATTTTTTTTTTATTTGCCATGTTGCTAGTTTCTCTTTTAGGTAGACTAGGTCTTTGTTTTGGAGTACTGCTTTATATGTGTACTCCTTATGGCCCCATTAGTGCTTGTCTTCAGCTTTGATGTACTATCCAAATGTTTTGCATCAGATTGTGGCCTAATTAGAGTAGTTAATAAACCCTCACATGTGACTTGCTACATATTCTGCACGCTAGCATGGTGAATTGACTTTTAGAGTTCTATGGTTGGTGAAATAGTGCATTGAACTGTTGGATTGTCTCCAAATTATATTTTGTGGGGTTGGCAGGACATGCTAATCTGGTACGAATTTGGCAGGAGTTAGCAGTTTGGGTCGAGTCACCTCATGTTTGTTTCACAAATGGCCAAATAGGTTTACTTGACGAACGGTGTGGTATTTGGGTTTTGATTGTCAACCTGCTTAACACATTTATGACACAAACGCAGATATGGCTCCTGAAATGAATTTGATGCTTTATGACTATAACCCCCAGAACCCACCTAATCCATATTCTTTTATTTTTTTTTTTTATTTTCATTTTTCCACCTTAGGATAACACCTCTGTAACATGCTTAATACTTGAATCTCATCTAAAACTTACCTAATGTAACATGACCTATTTACTAAACAAGTTACACTGTCATGTTGTGCACCGTATAAAAAACAAATCGGGTTGGGTTACGAATTTTGACCCTATTAGTTAACTTTGTTCCTAACACTTGATAGGGTGTTGATTGTGAGCCCAATAATGCTAAGGTGGTTGGGAGTCGCTCTTTCATATGCTCAGGTTGTAAATTAGGGTTACACTTCTGGCTTTATCTGTGTGAATGAGGAAGATAGAACTGGAAAAAGAAAACCATTAAAAGGATTGTATGCAACAACAATACTGAATTTTTGTACATGAAGCACTGGTATTTTATCAGTTCATTTAGGAATTGAGAGTTTTTGATTGATAGTGATTTATGTATCGTCTGATTGAGGCAATCTGACATTTTCTGCTCTGTTTCTGTGTCATTGGTGAAGTTCCTTTCATCTCTTCATCCGCTTAGCGGTCATTTCAGAGCTGCTTTGGGAAGAGAAGGTCACCTTAGGGGTTCAGTTCCTGTTTCTGCAATTGCCATTTATGATACAAAGCTAAATAATTTATGTAAATTCCTAAATCCTGAGGTTGAGTCAAATCCATGCTTGGTGATGTTGCTTGTTCTGAGGGCTGCTGCAAAAATCCCTGGTTCTGTGTCAATTTCTGAGGACCGGCTATCAATACAAAGGCTAAATTCATACCCTCCTGAGATTATACAGTCTTTAACCGAGCAACAATCTAGCTTGCCAGAAAACATTTTGATTGAAGTAATACGGATTCCTTATTCAGCTGAGAAGCCTGTTGAAACCTTGACTCTTCATATTTCAGCTAATGGTTATTACCTGGATGTTATTGCAGCAGAACTAGGAGCACCAGATGCTTCTGAGGTTCTGGTATCCAGGTAAGAAACTGCATACATTTGGGGATTTTATTTTGTTGCGAATATTTATGTATATCTGATGATAGGATCAACCTGTTATCATTATATTGGCGCACAATTAAGAGCTGGATGATAGGAGACTTCTATCGCATATGTTTTTGGATTGCCACTACACTCTTGCGTGGGTTGCACCTATGTGATATTGACAATAGCTTGGTAATGTGATCATGCTGACTTTCTGAGTCTGTTATGATTCCTCTTGTAAGAGTATTTTTGTTAAAAGTGGCAGACACCTTGTACAACTGACCCTTTTGGTAATAAATATTTGATTGTAAGATTGCATGCATGTTTTTGCACTTGTGTATTTGAGCCAGTATCAAGTAAGATTAGGTACGTAGAGAGCACTATTTGCAACGCCCAGTGATGGGTTAATTATGCTTACCATGCATCTCATGTATGTGATTAACCTAGTTGACCAGAGTTAGGTTGCTTATAAATTCATAAAGTTTTTTTTTCTGTAAAAAACTGTAGGCATGAATGTGGGTTGAACGGATGGAGCAGCTCTTATTTAGTTATTTCTTGTAGGACATGATAAGCATAGATAGATTTTTGTCTAATGATGGTATTGAAGAATGATGTTTCATGATTTCAAACTTAAAAAGAGATGTATAATTACTTAGACAGAAGGGTTTTGGAGCTAGGTACCTATTTTCGCAGTGGAGCATATGTTTGGCAAAGCTGGGGACTTCTTCCTTATATTGAAATACGTGTATTTTATGAATGTCTGTCTAATTTAACAGACTATCATTTTTTTAACAGGACTGTTGGCAAAGCTTCCTCTGAGACGAGATTATACTTCTGGCCTCCTGAGTCATATCTGCTGGATCTGTCAAAAGAACCATGCGCAAGAGATGCATGTCAATTTGAAAGATCTTTAAACTCCAGGGCAAGTTATTTCTCTGGTCAAGTTATATATGGTGATGCTATTTTGGCATCTATTGGATATTCACGGAGGTCTCTTGACCTTTTCTATGAAGATGTATCCTTGCGTTCATATCATAGGTCTCTTTCCTACTTCATCTGTTCTATTTTGTGCTCATTCTAACCCTACGCAATCATCCAATGCTTTTTCTCTTCACCAGAATATTTCTTCTTGGAATGTTTCCATTTCTTTAGTATATTAACTACAACAGTGATAGGGCCTGCCAAAGGTTCAGAAGATGACAGAGATAGGCTTTTTCTTTCTTTCTTTTTTTTTTTTTGACTCTTGGGCATTTTCTTTGCCAGTAGGATGCATAGAAGGAGCAATTATAACGTGTTTATTAAAAAGATTTGCTTTAAAAGACTGTCAAATCGTTTATGGTCCAACCAAAGGTTATTGACAAAGAAACTTGCTTCAGTTTAGAATCGAATTTTGTAAATTTGTTACCATTTCACCAAAAGATATCTGGTTGAACAGATATTGGGTTGCTGGATAGGTAATTGAATGAGCTATCAAACGGCTTTAAAATGGAAAGATTTTTGACATTTTTAAGTGTTTAGAACTTAGAATTCAGCTTCCATTGCAGAAAATTTCCCTTTAGGAATTCAACAACTAATTGTGTAGCATTCCTCTAACAACATCAAACTTCATGCACTTTTGTACCATATACTGCTCACCTCTATTTTTTTCGCCATTTTGCTCAATTAAGGGGTCATGTTTTTTGTTAAAATCATAAGTTATCATATATTTCTCTACTATTTCAGTTAAAGTTAATTTTGGTCTTCATTTATCTCTACGCTTATCATGTATATCTATCACCATCACTCTTTCTCAACGGTGCCATAATAGGCCGTCTATAAATTTGTCTAAACCACCTAAGTTGATTCTCCCTCAATTTATCTCCTATATGTGCCATCTCGTTCCGAATTCTATCATTCCTACTACCTTCTCTATCTTTTTTTGATAAGAAACAACAATTTTATTAACTATAAAAAGAAAAAAAAGTAGTCCAAAAACCAGTCATAAGCGGACAAGTCGTCAACCGGATGATGGTTAGCTACAAAGTCATAACCAAAACAAAAACAAGAACTAGAATTGGAGCTAGAACATTAAAACCAAATTAAACAAAGAAGCCAAGAAATAAAGCCAACCCCACAAACATTCAAATTCTTCTCATTTATTTTCAAAGATTCTTGCATTTATCTCCATCCATAATACCCAAATAGTAGCAAGGAAGGCACAAAGCCAAATGGTCTTTCCCCTTTTATTTCCTCCCAAACCTCTAAAGTTTGAGCAAATCTTAGAAGATATAGATCTCGGAGCCGTCCAAAAAAGGCCAAAAAAGTTGAGTATTTTGTTCCATAGTGATAAAGCTATATGACAAATTCACACTCTCGTAATCTCATCTACACGTAGCGCACCATTGTGGTAAAATACAAGTGTTAGGTCTTCTTTTTTGAAGTTCATCATTGGTATTGATTTGTCCATGATCAATTGTCCATGTACAAACCTGAACCTTTAAAGGAACTTTGGCCTTCCAAATCTTGAATGATGGATAATATAATGGAACAAAAGAATCTTCAATTAAGGACTCAAAGTAGAATTTGCAAGAGAATACACCCGAAGGATCTTTCCAAAATCATTTATCCAAAGAATTTTGGGACAAAGAAACATTATTAAGCATAAGAGATTGGAAAAGGTGCTAAAGATGCAATGCACTTTCCATGATAAGAAGAAATATGATAAAGGTGAGGAAATAGACTAGAAAAGGAATCTTTGTCATGTTTCCCACCTCAACTTTGCCACCTCTATTTTTGTTTCTTATAAAAAAAAATAAATTAAGCAATTAGTTTAGGATCAAATGACAAAAATGTTTCATCAGTTTATATGAATGGATGGATGCTCTTTATTTTGATTGTTGATGGTGAGATCCTACAAAATTTTATTGAGAGTTGAGTGCTGGGAAGTACGGATATTGACATTGGTGTTTTATCCGATACGACACGGGCATGGAGATATGATAAAGTTTAAAAATATAGGACACAAGTACGATAAGGATCCGACTAATTAAAATAATATAATATATTTTTGATAATAATAGAAGTATAATATATTAAAAATAAAACATATTTTACTATAATATTAATAATAAGACCTAACAAATGTTATTTTTTTGATTAAAATAGATAAAAATAAACATATACTATTTTCATCAAGTATCATTATATTCATTAATATTCATAGTATATAAGTTACATAATAAAAAAAAAAAATGACACTTCTCTTAATCTAAGAAGCACGGATACGAATACGAGACACAAATACGACATGACACGGACACTCAGATATGACATTTCTCAAAACAGTAGGACACGGATACGTTGAGAATATACTATAAAAAATTATATTTTATATATAACATTATAATTTGCAAATATAGTGATAAAGATATGCAATTCATAAAAGATTCAGTATTTTATGATAAGTAAATCTTATGTGTCATCTGTGTAAATTTTTAGACTAAAGTATCATCATAATAGTCAATAATTATCAATTTTTTTTAGACAATTTGTACTTAATATATAATTTAAATAATTGTTCTCATTTTCTCAATTTTTTTTTTAAACTTTTATGTATCTTTTATTTTATTATTATATTTGGAGTACAATTTTAACTTGTCTAGTATTAGTAATATGTTCTGAAAATTTGAAACTTTGTTGATCACATTTTAACACATGTTTATTGTTTAATAGTATACACATTTTAAAGAAGTGTCGGACAAGTTCTAAAGAATCATCGGACACATCACCAAAGAAGTGTCGGACACATGTCCGAAATTAAAATTTTTTCATTCTATTATGGACACGGATAAAAGAGTATTGGACATGTGTTCGAGAGTGTTGAAGAGTGTTGGTGTCCGACACGGATACGTTACGTTCTTAAGAGTATCCGTGCTTCATAGCTTTTAATAATTAATAGTCATTTTGAAAAAAAAAATCTTGGTCGTGTCCTAGCTATATCCAACCGAGTTCACTATTCAGGAGATTTCTAGCTGTGTTCGACACTGCCACGACATCCCTTGAGGAAGTTTCCGTGCTTCCTAGGTTGAGTGTAATTGTCGAAACCTGTCGAAACCCCAAGGAAGGTCAGTCTTGTGTTCAGAAATTTCTTGTATCTAACATGATTTTTTTTTTTTTTTCTTTTGTGTTAGAGTGGCATACTCAACCGTAGACTTGCATAGATATCTGCAGCTACAATATCCATTTTGAATGTTATTTTCTGGTTATTTAGTAGTTGATGTGTCTTATGTGATGGATTAAACATTACAAAAGTTTTTGCTTATTAAATACCTCACAGATTTCTTACTCAATCATAATAAGCATGTTATTTTACAGGTTACTTATCTATAAGATACCTAGCGGAATTTATAAGTTGTCAAGAGAGGCAATACTTGCAGCTGAGTTGCCTGTAGCATTCACTACGCGAAGCAACTGGAGGGGTTCCTTTCCAAGGGAGATCCTTTGTACATTCTGTCGTCAGCATCGTTTATCTGAACCTGTCTTCGATACTCTAAGTGATACCATGGAATCTTCGCCAGACTTACCTGGATCATGGAAGAAGTTGAAGGTTACAGAGTCTGGTAAAGAAGAAGTTAATGGAGGCAGTTTTGTCGTTGGTAGTAAGGAACCCATGGGATCTGGAGGAACCTTCAGATGCGAGGTGAAAATATTCTCGAAGTCTCGGGATCTGATTATACAGTGTTCACCCAAAGGATCTTATAAGAAACAGAGTGATGCCATCCAGAATGCAGCTTTGAAAATTCTGTCATGGTTGAGCACATATTTTAATAATCCAGGTATGTCTTCAGAGAAGTTGGCCTCAATTGGGAGTGAACTTGAAATCCAGTTTTATCCCCTCTTTAAAGAGTTTGTGTTGTGCCCTTCTGTACATAATAATTGGAAAAGCATTGGGACTCAAGCATACGGATTATTAAATTATAACTGCATTAATGAACCAAATGCTACGCTGGAAGATAGCGTGTCGTCTATTAACATAGAAGGTCCAGGGTCTGAAGTCACTCCATCAAGTGGGTCTTTGGCTTGTATAAGTTATAGCATCTCTTTGGTGGCAAAAGACAAAGATATTAGAGAGCGTCTTGAAGGTAGTGAAGAGTTTGAGTTTGAGATAGGGACTGGAGCTGTGATTCCGTGCCTTGAATTGGTTGTCACACGGATGTGCATGGGTCAGTCTGCTCATTTTAAAATGGATTTGCCTCCTCAAGAGTTAATTTTGGCTGTTGCTGGTGATTCTGCAAGAACTTTTTCATTACTGTCTTCAGGTGAGTTCACTCTATATGAAAACTGTTTCATAAGGTTTTCACTCTACTTGTTAGGCACCTGTCTGATGAAGAAAAATTGCATTTTGCAACTTGACATGTTTTAAAATTGGACTAGCTATTTCCTTATATTAAAAAATCTATCATATTTTTTAATGAGGCAGGATGCTGTATCTTGGATTACACTATATCTTTGTTGAGGGTGACGGAACCCTTGGAGGACAGAATGGAGCAGGCTCTATTTAGCCCCCCTCTATCAAAGCAGCGCGTTGAATATGCATTACAACACATTAAAGCATCTTGCGCTGCCTCTTTGGTATGCATAAATAGTTTCTTTTTTTTTTTAAATAATCTGCAAGGTTGATGTAGAGCTTTCAGATTTATCTTCGTTTCCATTGCAGGTAGATTTTGGATGTGGCTCTGGAAGTTTGTTGGACTCTTTGTTAGAATATCCAACTTCTCTGGAGAAAATTGTTGGTGTTGATATTTCAAAGAAAAGTCTTGCACGTGCAGCAAAGGTGTGAAGCATTTGCAGCTGCCGAAATGAAATTGTTACTATTATTATTTTTGAATTTGTGTTCCCCTTTTACTCTTCTTTTATTTCAAGTTATTATGCCCTTGTGTCGATAGTTGGCGCTTCAGTTTGAGTGACAGAAGTATAGGCTTTCCTTCATTAGACATAAAGCATATTACATAACGCAGGCTCTGAGTTTGGTGCCTATTTTCATTAAAACCATGCCCAATTGGTGGTTGTTGACTGATTAGTGATGATACTTCAATAATATCACAAGTAAAGACAAACATGAAGAAGATACTGGAAAAATTCCTGATGATTTACAGTCATCCACTGGTGGTTTCTATTACCTTAATCATTGCCAACTTGTTATGGCGCATGGTTGTCCCGATTTCTCAACTCAATTTAGACAAGGTGTTTGGTTTTTTAAATGATATTTGAGTTGGTGTTTCTTTAGAACTGTCAAGATTCTCTTGGTGTGGGATTGAGACACCCATGTATTTTAATTTGTATGTTTTTCCATTTTTCTTTTTATTTCTTAAATTGGTGATATATGCCACTGGATTGCCCCTGGTGTTTTTCACTACTTATTGCTAACCATTTGGCCACATTTTATGTTTGCTTTTAAATATGCAGACACTCCATTCAAAACTAAGCACAAGTTCAGATGTTGGATCCCCAAGCAAAGGAATCAAATCTGCATTGCTTTACGAGGGTTCCATCACAAATTTTGACTCCAGATTGTATGGATTTGACATTGGAACCTGTTTGGAGGTAATTGCTTCCCCTTTTAATAATGAGTTACTAAACTTCTACAGAGTTCATTCTTAGACAATATGAATAGTGGTTCTCTCTTGCCCCTCTTTCCCTTGTAATCGTATTCTTTCAACTCACATCTTAATTTTGTGAAGCTTTTCTTGTTATATATGTATACATGTACATGTAATCTTGTAAACCTTAGTTCTGGAATTCTGCATGGAACTTTAGGCCCTTAGTGGATTGTGCATGCATGCATCTAAGTGGAGTGCACATGTATGCATCTGCATGTGTGCTACTGATAACAAGCATGCTGCGGCAAGTAGGTATTATAGATGCAGTCATCCACCACATATAATCTATCAGACAAAACAGTCCGTTGTCATGGCAAATATACCCATGCAACTTGTGCATTCCATGTTGGTGGGAAACAAAAGGAATGGAATCAGAAGGAAAAGAGGATGAAATAGGAATGGGAGACAGCAGATTGTTAGTCGTGGAACATGTTTAATCGTGCTAAGAAAATTTATGAGAATATATAGATAAGTTTCTTAATGTACTCTTTATGTTGGAATTGTAAAAAATACACTTTATGAAAATAAATGCATGTGATGGCTGGAATTTGGAAGATTGTGAAAAAGATAATATGAACGAAGTGAATATCTTCATCCTGCCAATGCAAGTAATTGAGGGTAGGCAATTGGTTGCTCCATTGTTAATTGGGTCTAGTGGGTTCGGGTTACTGAAATACCCTCTCTGCATGCATGGGTAAGAATACTTACACTTCACCTCCACATACTCCTGCATGGATGCCCTTTCACCAATGCAAAAAATCCAGGGTACTCAAAGAAACTGCAAGGAAAGTGGTGGTTAAGAGATTACAAGAAAGAAAATGAAGTTCAGATTTTCAAAAAGAATTGCACTTGTGAGCAGATTCTGAGATGACAGGGCTCTTAACAGGGCTTTGAATGCACTGGGTTTAATTCATGAATTTTATGTAATTTAGTATATCAATATCCCGTATTTTTAAGTTGCGAATTGTACTATTGCACTCTTGCTGTGCATACTATCAGCATACTATATGTTGCAATTCATTCTGTTAGCACGTTGTATTAGGTTTCTTTGGCTTATTCTTCCTGATAAGTCGAGAGCCACATTGTATTCTGATCTGACAGAGTGATTACTTCTGCTGCTGAAATGCCAAATCGTCCGTTGTCGTCGTCTATGCCTTCCATAAACCCCAGTGAAATTATTAAAATTACGACAGCGCCTTGCTCCGAGAATATTGCCAATTCAGAGTTGAGTTCCACTTCCTGGTACCAATATTTATAGCCCTTGACTTTTTCTATTTGACAACCCCGAGGTTTTAGTGAGCTGATCTTGAATTGACTCAGAAGGAAACCCTTACCTTTCCAAATGTCAACTGAATTGCTATTATATATACTTCCCATCTTATCCCTTCTTTAGAAGATCCCTTGAAATAGATCAAATCATGAGCAGAAAAATAGATGGCCTTCGAAATTTCTGCACAATATGCATTATAGGATGAGACTGTTTAGCGAGAAGTGTCACGTTAGATTCTTGGAACCTCTGAAATCCTGGCGTCCCATTCCACTAGGCAGTTTGCTAGAATCCTATTCCAGCCAATGTATCTTCTTATCATGGGATTTTCACTCCATAAGAAACAAGGTTCAAAATATCAGCCGAGATGTATCCGATTTGGCCACCACCGAGAAAATTCAAACAATACAGAAAAGTAAAAAAAAAAATAAGCAAAAGGGATGAAGTAGAGACCCAACCTGATGGATGAATCGCCTTAATCAAAGAGCCATTCTTCATCTTTTTCCTCTTCTTTTTTTAGCAAAGACCTAGCATCGTCAATCGGAGATCAAAGCCTTGCAGCAAACCTGGGCTGTAACCGACTGTTCACTCTGTCGATTTCTGTTTCTAAGCTTCACTCTCCCTCTCTCTCTCTCTTAGACAAAGTGCCACATCTGTCTTATTAATGTCTCAATTTTTTTTTTCTAACTCATGCTTTGTTTTTGATATATATGATCTATTTAGGACTAAAAGTTATTAAATTAGTACTTTTCCTAAGTTCTGTTTTTTCATATATAATTGAACATATAGTAAAGTACGCATACTGATCTTAGACATACAGAATGGCCAAAATGTTTGTATTTTTTTCATAAATTTTTAAATCTAAAGATTAATTAATATATATTTACATTTCTATACTGTTCATTGTTGGGATCTTATGTATTTTTCAAATTTAGAATTTGTAGATACACGTGGCAAATAGATGATTGTAAATGTTTTTCGGTAGCAACCTTATAATCAGTTTTCACTTGTTATAAATAATAAATTTGGAAATACGATGTATGGATGATGATGTTTACATTTTTTAGAATTTTTTATATTTTTTCAAAGTTTTTTGGGCATTCTATCTAGTGTTTTAAACGTATCGGCCGATACTATGCGACAATCAATGTGCCTCAGTGCTCTGCGAGTCGATTTCCAATACTGCGACCATGAACCATGAAAAAATATTTCAAACTACGGATTATAGTTTATTAATACATCCTTGGATAGGCTGAATATTGATGTAAGGTGTGTAGGCAGTGTTAGAGCACCCTCAACTCAAAATAAATTGACTATAAGTGGAGTGACCCCTCAAGTATATAAACCTACCTTGGTAGTCCTAATTATTGGATGTGGGATAGAACTCTCTTAATACCTTTCCTCATGTGGGACTTGGGTTCGCATGTGGGGTCAACAAATAAACAAACAACCATACATGCCGGGATTCAAAAGGTTAAGAAACTTGGTCCATTGACCAATCAAGGCTCAACTCTGACATCATATTAGAGCATCCAACCAAAAACCAATTAGAAATATGTGGAGTGACTCAACTATATAAACTAACCTTGGTGGTTCTAATTATTTTATGTGGGATACAAGCTCTCTTAACACACAGAACTTGGAGCAAAGATTTTTATCACCGTTCTACTGCCATGTGAAAGCCGAGATTCTTTCTTGCATTTTTATCTATGGCCCTTTCAATGTAACTATTGTGGCATCGCTTTTAGATCTTCTACATGGTGATGGTAGGCCAAGGTATTTAGAATCAGCTTTCACTGGACTGACTTCCAGGAGACCACTCATAGTGGCTTTGATTGATTCACCATGTTTGCCGAAAACTTAACACATGACTTCTAGAGCTTTACTTGTTCCCCTGAAGCTTTACAATAAGTCGATAAGGCTTAATGATTCTATTCACTATGAGGTGTTCATGTACATAGCTTTCATGAGCTGTTCCTTTAAAAGTATTTGGGCAGGGATATTGGTAATTATTAGGGTTAGGGTTGATTATGGCCTTCTCAGCACTAGGGGGATGTAGGAGTTGTTCCTGAGATGGCAATTTAGTGCAGCATCCTGGTTGGGTCATTGACACTCATGTTTTAATCTTTGCTGGCATTTTTTTTTTTTGGCTGGGGTGGTTGATGGATAGTGGTGGGACAAATGCTCTGTGACATGCACATCTTGCCCTGCTCTTGGTTGATCTGTACATGAGTGCTTATTGTTATGGCTAAGTACAATATTATTTAAGGTGTAAAGCGAACCAAAGTGCTCAGGTCTCCTATGGCCTAGGCCTTCATCAAATTGAGGCGAACTATATAGAAACTTAGCAAATATTTTAGTTTAGTTACTACTAAGTATCAAGTTCCAACTTCCAACTTTTCATGTACTAAATATTCAAATGCAACTGAAAGTGTAAACATTTAAATTGTAACATGCTTCTCAAATCTTAACCCCAACCAAAACATTGATATTTAAATTTAAAAAAAAAATGCCAAAAACACACCAAATCCCAACATTTGAAGCAAAATGACCAAAAATCAAATATCAAAAGAGCAAAAACCTAAAGCAAAAGTATAGCTCCACCAACAGTTAATCATTGAGCTAACAAAAACAGAGCTCCAAGAAACGCAGAGCTTCAATTCCATCTTAGAAGAAAAAGATGAGGAGGATAAACAGAAGGAAGAAGTACACACACCTTGTCTCTATAGTGAATCGTTTTTTGGAAGAGAAGAAAAATAAGTTGGTCTAGTGAATCCCAACCTCTAGGTCATACATTGTTTTTCTAGAAGTAGCAGTAAATTGTTTGTGAAGAAGAAGAAGAAGAAGAAGAAAAACCTAGGTGAATCAGGTCCTTAGGTCGCGACTTCAGTCCTCACGACCCTTAATTCTCAATCAATTCTATTGTAGAAATTTTAGAGTTAGACGTATATATGGATCAAGTGGCAATCAATTGTTATGACATGCCCAATTTTGATCCAATTGATCAAATAAAACGAAGTACACACGCCTTGTCTCTATAGTGAATCGTTTTTTGGAAGAGAAGAAAAATAAGTTGGTCTAGTGAATCCCAACCTCTAGGTCATACATTGTTTTTCTAGAAGTAGCAGTAAATTGTTTGTGAAGAAGAAGAAGAAGAAGAAGAAGAAAAACCTAGGTGAATCAGGTCCTTAGGTCGCGACTTCAGTCCTCACGACCCTTAATTCTCAATCAATTCTATTGTAGAAATTTTAGAGTTAGACGTATATATGGATCAAGTGGCAGTCAATTGTTATGACATGCCCAATTTTGATCCAATTGATCAAATAAAACGGCCCATAATAGATCCAAAAACCAAAATAAAAAATTTACTAAAGCGTTCGCTTTTTCGCTTCTTGTTTAAGCGTGTGACGCTTAATCTTCACTTCGACAAAGTTGGCTTCGCCTGGGATATTGTAGGCGACCTGGGCTCGCCTAAGCTTCGCGTAGGCACACTTTTAATAACATTGGCTCAATAGACATCATCTATGAACGGTTAATTTACCTCTATAATCTCAACTGTGTATGCTTTTGCATTATTGGATACTGAAAGTCGCCGCTGCTAAATATTCAGTTTTATAATATTTTTCTCTTCCTTTGATCTTAAAATATATTTCATGATGAGATTAAGCTATTTTTCCCTTGCTCCATTGCTATTCCCCAGATGATATATGACTACCATAGGCTACTAGCATTACTACCGTTATTGTCATTATATGACGTGCCAACAACTTTGTTATACCCAATTTAGGACATGAAACACTTTTGTTATTGGATACATTCATGTATGCTCTGCTCCTGTGATAGGCTCAACTCAACTCAACAAAACTTTAATCCCAACTATTTGGGGTTTGGCTATATGGATCCTATTTTTTCATTGTGCTTTATTAAGCGTTATATGTTCTATTAGACCACAAGATATCATATTCATATCTTCTATTAGACACCAGCTATCCTATTCATATCTTCTATTAGATCACAAGCTATCATATCATTTTTAATTATTTCATTCATAGTTATTTTAGTCTATTTTTAATTTTTTCGTTCATTGTTTTTTTTAGGCTTTCCTCTACCTTTCGCATTACCATCAATATGTATTAAATGACTCTTTCATACTGGTGCATTATTAGGTCTTCTACACGGTTTTACGAATATACTCATTTTCTAATTCTATCATTTTCTTGTTTTACTATACATTCATCTTACTGGTCTCATTGCTCGTGTGATAGACCGTTTGCATTAAATTTAGGGTTAATTATAATATGCCTCCTCCAACTATGCCTTTTGTTGCAATCAGCTCTCTATGGTTTTAAATTTTGTAATTTGCCCCACTCCAAGTTTTAAGGAGATTTAATTGATTGACATTAGTGGTTGAAACATGAAAGTACCATTACACCCTCCATTTTGTACATTATTTCTCATATTTTTTTTCTTGAGATACCAATTCTATCTCTAAAAAATAAGAAAATGAAAAAGCCAAGAAAAAAATACATTTGTTCAACCCAACACCAACACACTATAACATGTTCACTTTTACCTTCACCTCAACACAACACCAACACTGACACACACACACACACAATTGTGTATTTTCAATAAAGTAGAGATCACGTAAATTTATCATGTCTAACTTACGTCGGTTTTATAGTCTAAAATTAACTTTGGAGTTAATTGAAAAATATTCAAACATAAGGAGGCTATTTGTTAAAATTAAAACTTGAAGGGATGAATAACAAACTACCTAAAGTTGAAGAGGGTATTTTGAAATTTAACCCTTAAATTTAACCAAATGTATTACTTCTATATTTGATTGGGAAATTGTGTTGAATAGGTTATTGAACATATGGAGGAAGATGAAGCCTGTTTATTTGGTGATGTTGTGTTGACTTCTTTTTGCCCGAGGATTCTTGTTGTATCCACCCCAAATTACGAGTATAATGTCATACTCCAGAAATCTGCTCTGCAAAGCCAAGAGGAGGATCCAGACGAGAAAAACCAATCGCAATCTTGTAAATTCCGCAATCATGACCACAAATTCGAGTGGACTCGGGAGCAATTTGGCTGCTGGGCATCTGACTTAGCTACAAGGCACAACTATACTGTTGAATTCAGCGGAGTCGGTGGAGTTGTTGATGTGGAACCCGGGTTTGCCTCACAGATTGCTGTTTTTAGGAGGGTTGATACAACTCTGAAGAATGCAGATTCAACCCATAATTACGAAGTTTTATGGGAGTGGAGTCAATCTAACATGTAAAAGTATATTCTTTGAGAAATATAGACTAGTACTGCTGCGTTTCAGTGCACAGTTGTGGGTTTCACTATCATTTTAGTTTTAGCTATAGGCAGGTAATTCAACTTTGAGGATGCATAAGGTTCTGATATGAAATGTGTAGCTACATCTATCCGCTCGTTCGGCGCAGATCAATGCATTTTGGTGGCCTTTAGCCCGAATCGCAAATTGGTTCTCTCTCTCTCTCTCTCTCTCTCTCTACACACACATTTTGGGAATGTATTTGGTGTGAGGGGCATTTGGTGGTCAGGTCAGTCTATCAAGGAATGCTTGGAGCTTCAGATCATGATTTGCCTTCAAAATGCACTCGGAATCACTCCAGTTTTTCATGGAAGTTTTGTAATTACATGTTTGTTAAACTCATTGTAACTTGCAGAATTAAGACTGATTTGGTTTGACATGTTCGGTTCTTCCGATTGGAATTTAATTGCCACTTAAAATGATCTTTGTGAACCATTTGGTATGTACACGTCCAGAAGTTGCCTTTTTCTTTGTCAAAAGCATCACTTTTACACAGTTCGCAGCAAATTGGAGAATTTCCTAAGCTGAACTGTTGAGAACAATTTGAGAATTGTTAGAATAGTTTATGATTGTTTAGAACTTGTAAGATTTGAGTTATTAAAAGTGGGTTGGTTCTCATTCAAGGTTATTTGTTTTAAGGAATGAACTGTATATGATAATATTTCTGAACTTGTTTGATATTCAAGTCTGCTTCAAGTCTGCTATAAGTTTGATTCTGAATTAGGAGATCGTGAGTTTGAGCCTTAAGTTGGTTGAACTAGAGTTGTGAACTTGAATCTGATCTTACACAGAAACCAGGCGGAGTCGAGCTAAACTTGAGCTGCTGAGCATGTGAACTAGAAGAGGAGCAGAGTTGGGGTAAGAATCTGAACTTGGCCAATTAGCTCGAGCTCAACTTCTAGGGAGATACTAATCTGAGCGACAATGCCCAATGTTTTGGCAGCCCCGGTTCTTGCATCTAAGGAAAAAGACTTGGTCCAGAAATATATCTTCTACGCCCAATTTCCCAGTTATGGTGGATGTGGGGGGTCAAAGTCCCCAAAATTTTGAAAAATACTTAGTTTATTACGGAATATATGAAATAATATATGTTGAAGTCCTTCCATTAATTTCAAGTGCGGTTCAATGCTGCTCATTGTTCCATCATTGAGAAGGATATGCCACTTTTCATATCATTTCCAGTAATGCTAAACAGGGGTGTTAATATCAATTGGAATACGACACGACACAACTAAATCGATAAACACGAATAGTAAATAAGTTAGAACAAAGTTAGACACAGAATAACATGACTAGTTGGTATTTTAGGTGAAAAATAGTTATTTATAATTTATTTTAAAGTTTATTTACAAAGTACAGTATATGAGTTGTTTTAGACTTAAAAAACTTTTAATTAACACAAATAAAAATACAAGTTTGATCCGACCTGAAACTGCCTTGACTTTAAATAATACGACATGAACATGTGACTACCGAAGCGACACTTTTCCTCTCCCATAATTTCACAAAATAATGCGTAGTTTGAAGCCAAAAACTTAGGTTCCAGGTTCAAAACCTTCACGTAAGCCACCAGGTGGTTTAGAGAAGAAGCCAGGGTTATGACCTTATGAATTTGCAAGTTCAGCTCTAGCCCCGGTAATTTGTGATTCGTAAATGATATCGAGATTTGAAATTTACGTTGTAACATATATCTATATCTATCTATATATATATATATATACACTACCTTAGTTTTACCATGAAATTTAACGAGTCTCCATCCAAACTCATTATACTTAATTTTGGGCAGTCCTGAGTTGCTGAATAGTATCAGCTGACATCTTGAAGGCCTTGGTAAGCACTTCATCAGGAATGCTAGAGCCAAACAAGTTCTTAGGCAGATCAACATAGTCTGCAATAGAGCTTCCATAGGCCGAGACAGTCACAGCCTTGTTGGTCTTGTCAAAGTTGGCCTGGTAGTGAGGCAACCCTATCGGGAACACGAAAACATCACCCTTCTGCAACATGTTCTTGTACAACTTCCCATTGCCGTCCACTGTGCCAACAGTCAGTGACCCGTCCACCAAGAACAGAACCTCAGCGCCCCGGGGGTGGGTGTGTGGCACGTTTACGGCCCCTGGTGCAAATTTAAGAAGTTCCATTGAAATTCCCATGCCATTGAGGGCTGGAAAGTCCTTGATCGTCACAGACTTGTAGCCTATACCATTGGTGGAAGCCGGTGCACCGCCTCGTAATCCGGTGTAGGTGAAGAATACTCCATCAAGCTTGGCCGGATCAACACCATCGGGGACCGAAAAGTCGGAGACCAAATCGGGGTCGGAGGCTCGGACTGTAGTGAGAGAAAGTAGTGCAAAGGTGGTCAAAAGGGCAAGTGATTTGGCCATGTTTTTCTTTTGGAGGCTGTCTCACTATAGGGGGTGTTTCTAAGTGTTTACCTCTAGTGTGAGTAAGGAGACATATTAAGTATTTTCATAGGCAATGCATGAGAAGTGATTATGCTTAAGTGGTAATAGAGATGAATTATAAATTCAGACGTTATAAATTTGAATTTTAACAATCTCTTGAAGTCAGACCGTGAGAGATTTATCTTTAATGAATATATTAGTTCTGGTGTATATGACTTACCTTTGATCGAATTGGAAAGATAATTAAACGAGGTATATGTAAATTGATTCGGACACTTGAACCAAAAAAGGAAGTGTTCATCCTTATTGAGATGCTTTTACATGTAATCATGGTAATTATGAGGCATTTGTTGGCTTCACTCTCAGAGACCACTTTTGTTGCTGGTAAATCCACAAGTTTGGGATTAATGGAAGATTATTAGGAATCAATTATGCGAATGCTATTCTCTTTTAACCACAACCACCAGGTCATTTCTTTGAAAATGACAATATGGCCTCTCATTGGTTCGTCCTCGGTGCCCATGGGCGAAACCCGCCTTTTGATATTGGGGGTGAAATTCACAAGAATAGATATGATATAAGATAAAGTTGACTTCAAGGTCTATATAAATGACACCTTTTAGAAATTACAATATAGAATTTTCATGATTGCGCTAATGTATATGAGTAGCGCAACTATAAAAACTCAACACCATAGTTTTTAGTAGGTACTTTTGATTTAGACGGCTAATGTCCACTAATAAAAAATGTTGAAAAATTAAATGTAAACACCTATTATATTTGGTTATGTATTAGAATGGTAACCTAAAAACCACATTTATTATGATACCAGTAATATAAGGAAAGTAAATTTAGTGTTATTATCAAAAAATAATTGATGGCAATGGCTTCTGATATGCAACACTAATTTTAAACTTAATAAGCACTCCTAATTGAGTTGATTAGAAAGATAAAGATAATTTTGACCAAGAGACCTACCCAACAATGGCGTATCTTAATTGAAGCCAAATAGTGTGTCTACCCGGGTCAAATCCGGTTTTTTTTTAATGTAAGCCTTTCTCACTTTCTCTATCTCTCTAAAGCACTGTTTTTAAAATAGAATTGACCGAACTAATCAACCCAATTAACCATTTAACCGGTGCCTTAGCCAAGCCAGTTCTGAGATTGAATCGGTTACCAAATCCAACCGGACAAATTTTTACAAAACCGGTGTAAACCGGATGTTTCACTCAATCCAAGCGGGTCTTTTTTGCTTTGCATAAAATATTTGAACCGATTCTTGACTGACATCATCACGTTTTATGGAAGCATAGTATTTTTTTTTTTGCAAATGTTTTCCGATGTGGGATGGGTGGTAACAGTGCACTGCTAGCCATTTTCTGTTATTGATTTATAGCTTTTTCTGGTATCATTATATTACTACTTATGTCAATCTACAATTCTTATTTGTGGATTGTTGATTTCTATTAGATTTTATAAATTGTCCAAAAAAGTAGGTGATTTTTGTGAATGTTTTTTTTGGGTGCTCTTATTTGATATACTATAGCATAAAAATGTTATTTTTGTAAATATTCAAATTTTTGTAGTATATTCATCATTATTAACAATATTTTTTTTTTTTTAATTATACAATCGGTCCGACCAATTGAGCCAATGGTTAAACCAGTGAACTATTAACTTGGTCCCTCTGCCGGATCAATGTCTAATCCGATTCTAATAACTATACTCTAAAATACAAATTAATTTTATTTGCAAATTTATTGTAATTATAGTACGAAAATCACATATTTTTCTGTTAAATAGAAAACTATGAGATTCTATTTACCAAAAAAAAAAAAACTACGAGATTGAAAGAACAGAATAAGTAAAAAACTAAAAAACTATTTGTCACTTAAAAAACTTTATCGAACTGTACCTAACCTCATGGATATAGATATTATTAGTCTTTTTTCCTTTCACTACTTCGTGCTGCATTAATCATCCAAAAAAAAAAAAAAAAATTCTTGGCCAAAGAGCCTTTGCTGACATTGATTGAAAATTCCGAAACCTGGACTTGAGTTGGATAGAACTGTTCAAGGGCCAAGGGTGAAACTATCCATAGAAGATAAAACTCTCTTTATCTCACGAGTTAAGTAAATAAAAAATTCATACCCAAACCTCCAAGAGCCATAACTAACTTAGGAAACAAGAATTTCTAATAATTAATAGTCCTAGGTTTTGGCGAACGAAAGAAAGAGAGGAGGCCGAACACACAGGACGTAGAATAGACAAAAAAAAAAAAAGAGAAGGGGAAATTGTAAAGAGGTACACAAAATTAGAGTTATTGGTGAAAAGATATATAACTCTTAATGCTAAGTCATTAAATCCTTATTTTTAGAATTTAATTGTGCACAAATACATAATTTGACTTTTTTATGATTTTTTTTAACATATTTGCCCTCACTTAAATCATGCATATTTTTTTTGACAGTTAAGTTGATTTTTTATTTTGTTTTATTATATTAAAGATTCCCTAATATAATGGAAGAATTATATTATCACAAAATTTGCATGTCTTAGCCATTTTGAATTTTAAATTTTTTTGTCATTATCCTCGCCATTAAAACATATCTTTCTTGTCATTAATACACACACACACACACATGACATTATTATTTTGATATACTTTAAATTTGTGTAATTCTTAAATTGTAATTTTTATTAATCGTATAATATTTTGATACACTATATTGATATACTTTAATTTCATAAACTCTTTAAAATGTATCAATACAGTATATCAAAACAGTAGAAAAGTAATAGAAACTAGACTTCATAGTGTGATTTCGAAATATTATATATATACTCCCTCTGTTCCTAAATATCTGTCATTTAAGGTTTTTGCACAAGAATTAATGAAAGAAATAAGTAGCTCTAATATGAGTAAAAAGTAATTGCATATGACTAATATATCCTTATTCAATACGTATTGGGAAGGAAAGAAATATGAATATATCTTATGTCATGTCCTAAATTGGGCATTTTTTTTTTTTGGCTGGGGTGGTTGATGGATAGTGGTGGGACAAATGCTCTGTGACATGCACATCTTGCCCTGCTCTTGGTTGATCTGTACATGAGTGCTTATTGTTATGGCTAAGTACAATATTATTTAAGGTGTAAAGCGAACCAAAGTGCTCAGGTCTCCTATGGCCTAGGCCTTCATCAAATTGAGGCGAACTATATAGAAACTAAGCAAATATTTTAGTTTAGTTACTACTAAGTATCAAGTTCCAACTTCCAACTTTTCATGTACTAAATATTCAAATGCAACTGAAAGTGTAAACATTTAAATTGTAACATGCTTCTCAAATCTTAACCCCAACCAAAACATTGATATTTAAATTTAAAAAAAAAATGCCAAAAACACACCAAATCCCAACATTTGAAGCAAAATGACCAAAAATCAAATATCAAAAGAGCAAAAACCTAAAGCAAAAGTATAGCTCCACCAACAGTTAATCATTGAGCTAACAAAAACAGAGCTCCAAGAAACGCAAAGCTTCAATTCCATCTTAGAAGAAAAAGATGAGGAGGATAAACAGAAGGAAGAAGTACACACACCTTGTCTCTATAGTGAATCGTTTTTTGGAAGAGAAGAAAAGTAAGTTGGTCTAGTGAATCCCAACCTCTAGGTCATACATTGTTTTTCTAGAAGTAGCAGTAAATTGTTTGTGAAGAAGAAGAAGAAGAAGAAGAAAAACCTAGGTGAATCAGGTCCTTAGGTCGCGACTTCAGTCCTCACGACCCTTAATTCTCAATCAATTCTATTGTAGAAATTTTAGAGTTAGACGTATATATGGATCAAGTGGCAATCAATTGTTATGACATGCCCAATTTTGATCCAATTGATCAAATAAAACGGCCCATAATAGATCCAAAAACCAAAATAAAAAATTTACTAAAGCGTTCGCTTTTTCGCTTCTTGTTTAAGCGTGTGACGCTTAATCTTCACTTCGACAAAGTTGGCTTCGCCTGGGATATTTTAGGCGACCTGGGCTCGCCTAAGCTTCGCGTAGGCACACTTTTAATAACATTGGCTCAATAGACATCATCTATGAACAGTTAATTTACCTCTATAATCTCAACTGTGTATGCTTTTGCATTATTGGATACTGAAAGTCGCCGCTGCTAAATATTCAGTTTTATAATATTTTTCTCTTCCTTTGATCTTAAAATATATTTCATGATGAGATTAAGCTATTTTTCCCTTGCTCCATTGCTATTCCCCAGATGATATATGACTACCATAGGCTACTAGCATTACTACCGTTATTGTCATTATATGACGTGCCAACAACTTTGTTATACCCAATTTAGGACATGAAACACTTTTGTTATTGGATACATTCATGTATGCTCTGCTCCTGTGATAGGCTCAACTCAACTCAACAAAACTTTAATCCCAACTATTTGGGATTTGGCTATATGGATCCTATTTTTTCATTGTGCTTTATTAAGCGTTATATGTTCTATTAGACCACAAGATATCATATTCATATCTTCTATTAGACACCAGCTATCCTATTCATATCTTCTATTAGATCACAAGCTATCATATCATTTTTAATTATTTCATTCATAGTTATTTTAGTCTATTTTTAATTTTTTCGTTCATTGTTTTTTTTAGGCTTTCCTCTACCTTTCGCATTACCATCAATATGTATTAAATGACTCTTTCATACTGGTGCATTATTAGGTCTTCTACACGGTTTTACGAATATACTCATTTTCTAATTCTATCATTTTCTTGTTTTACTATACATTCATCTTACTGGTCTCATTGCTCGTGTGATAGACCGTTTGCATTAAATTTAGGGTTAATTATAATATGTCTCCTCCAACTATGCCTTTTGTTGCAATCAGCTCTCTATGGTTTTAAATTTTGTAATTTGCCCCACTCCAAGTTTTAAGGAGATTTAATTGATTGACATTAGTGGTTGAAACATGAAAGTACCATTACACCCTCCATTTTGTACATTATTTCTCATATTTTTTTTCTTGAGATACCAATTCTATCTCTAAAAAATAAGAAAATGAAAAAGCCAAGAAAAAAATACATCTGTTCAACCCAACACCAACACACTATAACATGTTCACTTTTACCTTCACCTCAACACAACACCAACACTGACACACACACACACACACAATTGTGTATTTTCAATAAAGTAGAGATCACGTAAATTTATCATGTCTAACTTACGTCGGTTTCATAGTCTAAAATTAACTTTGGAGTTAATTGAAAAATATTCAAACATAAGGAGGCTATTTGTTAAAATTAAAACTTGAAGGGATGAATAACAAACTACCTAAAGTTGAAGAGGGTATTTTGAAATTTAACCCTTAAATTTAACCAAATGTATTACTTCTATATTTGATTGGGAAATTGTGTTGAATAGGTTATTGAACATATGGAGGAAGATGAAGCCTGTTTATTTGGTGATGTTGTGTTGACTTCTTTTTGCCCGAGGATTCTTGTTGTATCCACCCCAAATTACGAGTATAATGTCATACTCCAGAAATCTGCTCTGCAAAGCCAAGAGGAGGATCCAGACGAGAAAAACCAATCACAATCTTGTAAATTCCGCAATCATGACCACAAATTCGAGTGGACTCGGGAGCAGTTTGGCTGCTGGGCATCTGACTTAGCTACAAGGCACAACTATACTGTTGAATTCAGCGGAGTCGGTGGAGTTGTTGATGTGGAACCCGGGTTTGCCTCACAGATTGCTGTTTTTAGGAGGGTTGATACAACTCTGAAGAATGCAGATTCAACCCATAATTACGAAGTTTTATGGGAGTGGAGTCAATCTAACATGTAAAAGTATATTCTTTGAGAAATATAGACTAGTACTGCTGCGTTTCAGTGCACAGTTGTGGGTTTCACTATCAATTTAGTTTTAGCTATAGGCAGGTAATTCAACTTTGAGGATGCATAAGGTTCTGATATGAAATTTGTAGCTACATCTATCCGCTCGTTCGGCGCAGATCAATGCATTTTGGTGGCCTTTAGCCCGAATCGCAAATTGGTTCTCTCTCTCTCTCTCTCTCTCTTACACACGCATTTTGGGAATGTATTTGGTGTGAGGGGCGGCAACAGTTTGGTCCGGTCAGGTCATGTCTATCAAGGAATAGTAACTTGGATAAAATCCGCCCCTTCAGATCTATGATTTGCCTTCAAAATGCACTTCGGAATCACTCCAGTTTTTCATGGAAGTTTTGTAATTACATGTTTGTTAAACTCATTGTAACTTGCAGAATTAAGACTGATTTGGTTTGACATGTTCGGTTCTTCCGATTGGAATTTAATTGCCACTTAAAATGATCTTTGTGAACCATTTGGGATGTACACGTCCAGAAGTTGCCTTTTTCTTTGTCAAAAGCATCACTTTTACACAGTTCGCAGCAAATTGGAGAATTTCCTAAGCTGAACTGTTGAGAACAATTTGAGAATTGTTAGAATAGTTTATGATTGTTTAGAACTTGTAAGATTTGAGTTATTAAAAGTGGGTTGGTTCTCATTCAAGGTTATTTGTTTTAAGGAATGAACTGTATATGATAATATTTCTGAACTCGTTTGATATTCAAGTCGAGCTTGAACAATGTGCTGCTATAAGTTTGATTCTGAATTAGGAGATCGTGAGTTTGAGCCTTAAGTTGGTTGAACTAGAGTTGTGAACTTGAATCTGATCTTACACAGAAACCAGGCGGAGTCGAGCTAAACTTGAGCTGCTGAGCATGTGAACTAGAAGAGGAGCAGAGTTGGGGTAAGAATCTGAACTTGGCCAATTAGCTCGAGCTCAACTTCTAGGGAGATACTAATCTGAGCGACAATGCCCAATGTTTTGGCAGCCCCGGTTCTTGCATCTAAGGAAAAAGACTTGGTCCAGAAATATATCTTCTACGCCCAATTTCCCAGTTATGGTGGATGTGGGGGGTCAAAGTCCCCAAAATTTTGAAAAATACTTAGTTTATTACGGAATATATGAAATAATATATGTTGAAGTCCTTCCATTAATTTCAAGTGCGGTTCAATGCTGCTCTTTGTTCCATCATTGAGAAGGATATGCCACTTTTCATATCATTTCCAGTAATGCTAAACAGGGGTGTTAATATCAATTGGAATACGACACGACACAACTAAATCGATAAACACGAATAGTAAATAAGTTAGAACAAAGTTAGACACAGAATAACATGACTAGTTGGTATTTTAGGTGAAAAATAGTTATTTATAATTTATTTTAAAGTTTATTTACAAAGTACAGTATATGAGTTGTTTTAGACTTAAAAAACTTTTAATTAACACAAATAAAAATACAAGTTTGATCCGACCTGAAACTGCCTTGACTTTAAATAATACGACATGAACATGTGACTACCGAAGCGACACTTTTCCTCTCCCATAATTTCACAAAATAATGCGTAGTTTGAAGCCAAAAACTTAGGTTCCAGGTTCAAAACCTTCACGTAAGCCACCAGGTGGTTTAGAGAAGAAGCCAGGGTTATGACCTTATGAATTTGCAAGTTCAGCTCTAGCCCCGGTAATTTGTGATTCGTAAATGATATCGAGATTTGAAATTTACGTTGTAACATATATCTATATCTATCTATATATATATATATATATACACTACCTTAGTTTTACCATGAAATTTAACGAGTCTCCATCCAAACTCATTATACTTAATTTTGGGCAGTCCTGAGTTGCTGAATAGTATCAGCTGACATCTTGAAGGCCTTGGTAAGCACTTCATCAGGAATGCTAGAGCCAAACAAGTTCTTAGGCAGATCAACATAGTCTGCAATAGAGCTTCCATAGGCCGAGACAGTCACAGCCTTGTTGGTCTTGTCAAAGTTGGCCTGGTAGTGAGGCAACCCTTTCGGGAACACGAAAACATCACCCTTCTGCAACATGTTCTTGTACAACTTCCCATTGCCGTCCACTGTGCCAACAGTCAGTGACCCGTCCACCACGAACAGAACCTCAGCGCCCCGGGGGTGGGTGTGTGGCACGTTTACGGCCCCTGGTGCAAATTTAAGAAGTTCCATTGAAATTCCCATGCCATTGAGGGCTGGAAAGTCCTTGATCGTCACAGACTTGTAGCCTATACCATTGGTGGAAGCCGGTGCACCGCCTCGTAATCCGGTGTAGGTGAAGAATACTCCATCAAGCTTGGCCGGATCAACACCATCGGGGACCGAAAAGTCGGAGACCAAATCGGGGTCGGAGGCTCGGACTGTAGTGAGAGAAAGTAGTGCAAAGGTGGTCAAAAGGGCAAGTGATTTGGCCATGTTTTTCTTTTGGAGGCTGTCTCACTATAGGGGGTGTTTCTAAGTGTTTACCTCTAGTGTGAGTAAGGAGACATATTAAGTATTTTCATAGGCAATGCATGAGAAGTGATTATGCTTAAGTGGTAATAGAGATGAATTATAAATTCAGACGTTATAAATTTGAATTTTGACAATCTCTTGAAGTCAGACCGTGAGAGATTTATCTTTAATGAATATATTAGTTCTGGTGTATATGACTTACCTTTGATCGAATTGGAAAGATAATTAAACGAGGTATATGTAAATTGATTCGGACACTTGAACCAAAAAAGGAAGTGTTCATCCTTATTGAGATGCTTTTACATGTAATCATGGTAATTATGAGGCATTTGTTGGCTTCACTCTCAGAGACCACTTTTGTTGCTGGTAAATCCACAAGTTTGGGATTAATGGAAGATTATTAGGAATCAATTATGCGAATGCTATTCTCTTTTAACCACAACCACCAGGTCATTTCTTTGAAAATGACAATATGGCCTCTCATTGGTTCGTCCTCGGTGCCCATGGGCGAAACCCGCCTTTTGATATTGGGGGTGAAATTCACAAGAATAGATATGATATAAGATAAAGTTGACTTCAAGGTCTATATAAATGACACCTTTTAGAAATTACAATATAGAATTTTCATGATTGCGCTAATGTATATGAGTAGCGCAACTATAAAAAACTCAACACCATAGTTTTTAGTAGGTACTTTTGATTTAGACGGCTAATGTCCACTAATAAAAAATGTTGAAAAATTAAATGTAAACACCTATTATATTTGGTTATGTATTAGAATGGTAACCTAAAAACCACATTTTTATGATACCAGTAATATAAGGAAAGTAAATTTAGTGTTATTATCAAAAAAATAATTGATGGCAATGGCTTCTGATATGCAACACTAATTTTAAACTTAATAAGCACTCCTAATTGAGTTGATTAGAAAGATAAAGATAATTTTGACCAAGAGACCTACCCAACAATGGCGTATCTTAATTGAAGCCAAATAGTGGGTCAACCGGGTCAAATCCGGTTTTTTTTTAATGTAAGCCTTTCTCACTTTCTCTATCTCTCTAAAGCACTGTTTTTAAAATAGAATTGACCGAACTAATCAACCCAATTAACCATTAACCGGTGCCTTAGCCAAGCCAGTTCTGAGATTGAATCGGTTACCAAATCCAACCGGGACAAATTTTTACAAAACCGGTGTAAACCGTATGTTTCACTCAATCCAAGCGGGTCTTTTTTGCTTTGCATAAAATATTTGAACCGATTCATGACTGACATCATCACGTTTTTATGGAAGCATAGTATTTTTTTTTTTGCAAATGTTTTCCGATGTGGGATGGGTGGTAACAGTGCACTGCTAGCCATTTGTGTTATTGATTTATAGCTTTTTCTGGTATCATTATATTACTACTTATGTCAATCTACAATTCTTATTTGTGGATTGTTGATTTCTATTAGATTTTATAAATTGTCCAAAAAAGTAGGTGATTTTTGTGAATTTTTTTTTGGGTGTTCTTATTTGATATACTATAGCAT